GATTTTTAAGTTTTTCCGTACTCGTATTTAAATTTGTATCTTCTCTTTGACTTTAGTCCTTACTCTTTCTTTCTCCGATATTTCATTATCTTTACCAATTTCTGTCTATTTTTCATTTTCGTTTTCCTCTGCCGTACATTTTCACTCTTTTGTTTGGCATTAAATTTATTGTTCATACTTTTAGATTTCTCATTACTTTTTATCTTTTGTTTCTTATCTTTCTTTATCTTCTTAATTACTTTTTTCTTAAATAATTTTTCTCCATTTATGTTTCTTTTACCTTCCTTGTGTCTTCTGTTATCCTATTTCATTTGTTTTCTAATTTCCTTTTTCCTTCTCGATTTCTTTTTTAATTCTTCAATTTTTGTTTTTCCTTTATTTTGTCTTCATTTTCGATTTCTATCTTTCAAATTTTTTGCTCAAATCTTTTTCTTCAATTTCTTGTACGACTATGTCTTTCTTAATCTTTCAAAAATTCTTGTTTTTTTTTCTAAAATTTCAAATGCATTATCTTTAAGTTATAATCCCTATACTTCTGCCATGTCATTTTTGTTCCTGTTTCTTCTGCCATTTCTTCTATACTATAGTAATTATCCTGTTTTGTTTTTCTCCATTCCCTCTATTTTTTTTTATAATTTCTTCTTTATCTTTTAGCCGTTTTTATTTTTCTTCTTATTATTATTATTTCTCCTATTTTTATTCATTTTTTTGATCCATTCCATCAATTTTCTTTACAATTCTAGCCTTTCGTGTTTTCTCTCTTCTTTATCATTTATCCTATTTTCATCCATTTTTTTAACCATTATTTCATTGTTTTTCTCCATTTCCCTCACCATCAAGGCAAACATTTCTATTATTTTATCTTCGTTCTTTACTTTCTTTTCTTCACTTTCATTTTCTTCGATAACAGTTTTTTCTATATCCTGTATTTCCACTTCTCCTATATCACCTTGTCCTATTTTTCAAATTTCTTCATTCTGTTCATCTTTTCCATTGATTTTTCCCCCTCGTAAAGCACACTATCTATTTAATTTCTAAGAAATTTAAAATTTATGTCCACAATTCGATTTACTACTTTTAGTAATTTTTGTTGTACGCCAAAGCTTTTATTTTATTAAAATTATCTTTTTCAAGTTTAAATCTTGACTATCTATCCTAATAATCCTAATAACCTATAAATTAAAAAAGAAACAAAAAATTGTCAATTGAAATTTTTTGACACCTGTGAATCTGACAGTGACAGCCTGTCAATTTGACAGCCTCACGTAGGGCGCCTTTTTTTTATGAAAAATAATGTTTGATAAATAATAATTTGTTATTTCTACAATACCCTGTAATTTTTTTTATATGAGTTTTATTTTGTTGATTTTGATTTTGATTCTGCATTGGATTCACTCATTTACATTTTTACTTTTAATAATTTCGATACAAAGAAGAAAGAAAAATGAAACAAAAACTTACATTACTAATTTCTATATAAATTTCCAAATTCCAACTATATTTACCTCCTATATTCTTTCTATGTTTGGTCTGATCATACTTATTATAATTTAGATACTTAAAAAATATAAAATTTATTAATTCAAATCCAAATTGTCCCTTTCCTCTTCTATTTTCTTCCTAGCAGCTCTGTCTGCTCGCTATTCACTTCTAGAGGGCAATCCAATTATCAGCACTCCATCCAATATGTCAGAAAATTAGTAATACTCAAAATACCTCTTTATCTTCTGTTTATTAAAAAAATTTCAAAATAATAACAATTTAATTTACAATTTTTTCCTTTCCTTTACTATCGATATATTCTTTACAATTTTAAAATTTCATATTATACGGTATGTCCCCCTAAGTTGGAATCATATGGAAAACTTTTTTATTATTAATTTTAGGAAAAAAAGTTATTCCTCATAAAAAGTTCTGCATTATCTAAAACCTAGAATACAGTCATCAAATATCAAATTTTTTCAGTAGTATACGAGGTTTGTCAAAAAATATGAGTTTTACTCAAGAGTAAAGTACCTTTATTCTTTATACGACTGATAAAATTTGATATTTGATGGTTGCTCGACTTTTTATAAAGAAAAACTTTTTTTTCATTAGTAATAAAAAAGCTTTCCTATGCTACCAACTATTTACGTAAATTGGCTGGATATGGAAAACTTTTTTTATTATTAATATTGGGAAAAAAGTTATTCTTTATAAAAAGTCGAACATGGTCTAATACCTAAAATACAACCATCAGATATAAAATTTTATCCTTCGTATAAAGAATTAAGGTACTTTACTCTTGAGTAAAACTCATATTTCTTGACAAACCTCGTATACCACTGAAAAAATTTGATATTTGATGACTGTATTCTAAGTTTTAGATAATGCAGAACTTTTTATGAAGAATAACTTTTTTCCTAAAATTAATAATAAAAAAGTTTTTCATATGATTCCAAATTAGGGGGACATACTGTATAAATCTGACAATATTCGCTCTCTGAAAATCCATAATTAATTTCTAAAAATCCTCTTTCAAAATTGACTTTTCTAAGAAACTTTGATTTTTTCATCTTTTCAGGGCCATACATGGATTAATTAATCAAACTTTGGTATACCTAAATTACTTCATTAATTTTATTATCAGTAAATACTTATTGAATACTGCACATATACTTGAGTACATTTTCAGTATTTGCATAGCACGTAAAAACAACGTCCTGTAACGTAATATACTTAGTATATTCTGAGAATGTTCTTAATGCAATTAAAGTATATTCTTGGCATATACATATTCTTAAAAAGTATACACTAAGAATATGCTAAGAATGTATAATTGCTATCTGGGAAAAGTCGATTAAAATTCAAACCAAAGCTTTCTACTCGTACAAGTATAAAACGAAACAAAAAGTATCCAGCTGTAATACAAATACTGTTCTAAAAATATATAGTGAGGCCGATTTTAATTTTTGACTGAAGTTTTTTTGATAGTAAACTTATGTATACAGGGTGACCCACAAATAAGTAATGATCATATCAACTTTATTTTTTCAAATAGAAATAAGTATTTTTTATTTCATTTTTAAAGTTTGCATCAAATTCCTAATATGATTCATGCAAAATTCAAAAATAAAACAAGTATTAAAAGTAATTTTAAAAAACCGACTTCAAAATCTTGCAGATGCCATCACCACATCTTTACCAAATTTATATGGGACCACCCCTGAGGTACCCCTTTCTAACAAGAAAAGAATCATTGAAATCGGACACCGTGTTAAAGAATTATCGCTAAACATACATAAAAAATATATATAGACCGACGATTTGAGAACCTGCTCCTTTTTTGAAGTCGGTTAATAAAAAGTAGGAGTTTCCATTTGAAAAAAATTAAGGTGACGGTCGTAACTTATTTTTGGGTAATTCTGTATACGTGACTTTACTATTAAAAAAAACCGCGTCCAAAAATAAAAATCGACTTATGCGAGCAGTTTTTCAAAAAATAAATTCCTGAATTTTAAATGAATTTGTTCCAACCCACGCATACTCACTGCATATAATCTGCTCAACTATTATTTCAAGTTTAAGTAGTGTTTACAAAAATCGATATTTTCTTTCCGATTTTTTTACAGTATCGATAGTATATAGGGTGGCCCACTTAAAAGTTCCACCCCCCCTTATCTTCGTTATTCATTGAGTTATCGGAATAATTTCTTTTATTTGAAAGACTGGAACAAATATTTTCTTATGATGGATTCAATTAATCTGTGACGTCATGACTTACTTCCGATTTTTCCGGAAATAACAGAAAATCGCAATTTATTTTTTACTTTTAAATTGAAACCCACTTTTTTATTGTAAATTTGAATTTGTGGGACTTTTTGCATAATACTCGTGTATTGAAAATTTTCTGGCAGCTGTCAAAGTGGCCGCCATATTGGATAATAATTTTTTCTAAACATGTTACTATTAATTCGTTTATGGAAAAAAATATACGAATATATGACCTTTATAAAATCTTTGTAAACTTTTAAATTCCCATTGAGACCCATTTACCGTATACCAGTGGCGTATCTAAGCATTTTCATTATTACCAAACTGTTTAATAATTCCATCCGCTTTTATCTTCGTTGTAAATTGAGATATTGGAACGAAAACTTTTTTCTTGAAAAGCTTGGAATAAATACTCACATAATATACTGGATTTAATTGGTCTGTGACGTCATGGCTTACTTCCGGTTTTTCGGAAATAACAGAAAATCGCAATTTATTTTTAATTTTTAAATAGAAACCTTCTTTTTTTATTGAAAATTTAAATTTCAGGGACATTTATAGATAAGAATCGTGTGTTGAAAATTTTTTGTCAGCTGTCATATTGAATAATATATTTTTTAATATGTTACTGTTAATTTGTCTATGGAAAAAAAGATGGGAATGTATAAAATCTTTGTAAGCTTCACAGTTCCCATTGAGACCCATTTACAGTATACCAGTGGCGTATCTAAGATTTTTGTTATTAGCAAACCGTTTAATAATTCCACCCGCTCTTATCTTCCTTATTAATTGAGATATCGGAATGAAAACTTTTTTGTTTGAAAGTTTGGAATAAATACTGTCAAATATTTGATTCAACTGGGCTGTGACGTCATGGCCTACTTCCGGTTTTTTTAAAATAACAGTAAATCGCAATTTATTTTTTATTTTTAAATGGAAACCCACTTTTTTATTGAAAATTTAAATTTCCTGAGCGTATCAATGGTAATTTATTATTGTATGGTAGGTATTGTTTTATTATATTGATTCTTTGAAGCTTTCTGATGAAATTAAGCAACTTTAAAATTTAAAATAAAAATAAATATTTTTTAAATTTAAAGACCTGTCTGATGTCAACATCGACGTTTTAAAAACTTTTCGCATCCCTAACATAACATAAATCTGCGATATACTCGAATTTTCAGGTTAAGTATAAATAAAAAACTATTTTTATTATAATTTTAATTAAATATATATTCAATAAACATATCTACACTCCATGCTTACATTTTTATCCAAAATCAAAGGGGGTAATCTCGTTTATCTTTGTCTGCAAATAGTACCAGCAACCTTTTGACAACGTTTCATTGTAATAAAATTATTATTTGTAGCTCTGCAACCTCCGTACAAAACTTTTTCACACCTAGCTTTTCTGTGGTTCCAATGGTAACGAGGTATTAATGCTGTGCATGATTGACCGAAAGGAGTATGTGGTTTAAAGCAATCTGAAATAAACAATATAATTTAAGCTCACCTACACTGAGAAAAGTATGTTCTATAATGGAGTAATTTGTTGTAAGTGGATGATTTGGAGTTGTTTTCCTAGCAACTCAATACATTTTTTTGTATTTTATACCAAGCTCTTCACGTTTTTAAGATAGACTTTCCAGTAGAGCCTAGCATCAATTGTCATACACAGATATTTTGCTGTATAATTATAATAATGTTTTACAGTTAACATGTGGGTAAATTACAGGATGCTTTGTAATTAGGTTATTATAATTAAATTAGCTAAGTCACTTACCGGCTTTTTCGAAATGCTCCTTACAAACACCACCAGCGATCTTTTTACAACTTTCAAGTGTTTCAAAATTATTATTTGTAGCTCCGCAACCTCCATATGCGACTTGTTCACATTTTGCTAGTTCGTGGTTCCAATGGTAACGAATTGCTAATGCCCTGCACTCAAAACCAGCAGTATGCGGTTTAAAGCAATCTGGAATGAGTATTTTATAAAATCAAAAAAAAAAGAGTGATCCACAAGAAATGTTTCTAAAGTAAGCCATGAGCGATAAAGACAGGGATACGAGTCACGTTTCATCTGACACAATTGAATGCTCCGACATATGTAAATTTTTCCAAAGCCCACTTTAGATTTTTTTTTTTTGAATCATAACACACCTAATATCATATTAGCTATTTTATTGTTGGAGTACTTGCAGATATAACACCCATTTCGATATACAGAGCGAGACATCAAAAACGAAACAAATTGAATATAATTGTAATAATAATAAATGTCTTTATTACCACATAATAAAAAGAAAAATGACATTGATTGTATAATAATTAGGGCGAGATTCAGTTTGTATATAATAATACAATATGAAGAAGTATTAATTTATCAGTTAACATATATCTGCTCTTCCATCTAACTTAAAAATAGAAAATCAAAGACAGCAAATAAAACAATTAATAAATAATTACATTAAATTAAATTAATATATAACTGTTAGTTAACCAAGGGAAGATATTTTAACCCGAATAACGTAATTATTGTTGAGAAAAATAATAGTCAAAAGAACTTGTTTAAGTTTATGTAAAGACGGGTAACTAAAATCAAAAGGTAAGTTATTGAGACAGTTAACAATGCAATAAGAAAAAGATCGTTTGAAGGACTCAGTATAGTGACGAGGTACCGTAAGAGTATTTCTATGTCTTAAGTTAAGAGAATGGATATCAGTTCTGTATTTTAATTTATAATATAGATATGGTGGAGATTTTTCCTTTAGTAGCTTAACATAAAACACTTACCGGCCTTTTTGAAATGCTGCTTACAAACCCCACCAGCGATCTTTTCACAGCTTTCAAGTGTTTCAAAGTTATTATTTGTAGCTCCGCAACCTCCATATGCAACTTGTTCACATTTTGCTAGTTCGTGGTTCCAATGGTAACGAATTGCTAATGCCTTGCACTCAAAACCAGCAGTATGCGGTTTAAAGCAATCTAAAATGAATGTTTTATAAAATCAAATAAAGAGTAATCTACAAAAAATATTTATAAAGTCATATTTGTGACTTTATGACTTTGTGACTAATCTAAGCTCTTAATTAAATCTCCGACATACATACAAAGTCTACACCGAGAAAAATCAGGTGAATAGTTATTTTTTTTAAATCTTATAACTGTAAAAAAAAAAAAGATTATGGCCATTAATATTTTTCAGATTACTGTTACAAAAAAATTATTCAATATAAAACAGGTATTTTTTTTCAAATCTTTATGTATTTTACTACTTAAAATATGACTTTTTCAACGTTAAATTTTAAAAATAATCAAATTTTAGAGAAGTGGCTTCAGAGGAGCACGTTTATTCTTTACCTAAAGTTATATATTTTTGGCTAAATATAAACTTCGAAATAAAATTGGGAAATACCAAAAGTTTGCATGGCTATATTTCAAATAAAAGGAGACAATTACCAAAGTAAAGTATATATTTTAAGAAACATTCAAACCACTAATAGGTAGTCTTTTAATGTTGAAACGGTTATTATTTAATTCTTATAAAATTTTATTTTAAGAACAACAAAGTGAATGTACTAATTTTAAATACCAGTTATTCAAAATACCATTTAGTGGCCAAATAATTTTTCTTTTAAATCTAAAACAGTTATAATTTTATTTTTATATAAGTTACTTTTAACATCAATACAGTAAAAATATTTCTTAGAGAATCAACTATTTCACCATTAAAACTTACATTGTAATCTTGAAAATGTTAACATTATAACGATGAAACTGTAACTATTTAACCGATAAAACTTTAACTATTTAACCGTTATATAAAAAATTGATAATTCTGTTTCATTTGTATACAGGTACTTTTTTATAGTAATACAAATTTTTTGAAAAAAAAATACCGTAATGACTATTAAAAGGGAGCTAGGTTGACGCCTATTCAATTCAGAAATCTTTTAATAGTTATAAAATTTTGTTTAATGGCTGTACTCTAGAAACATTTTTTGTGGATGGATCACTTTATATATCTATAACAGTAACTCATTGCAGTATATAGGGCGAAGCACCAAAAACGCAACGAATTGAAAATAATATTTACTTCATTCCCATAAGTCATTCTAACCAATTCAATTTAAATAGGAAAATAGGCAGGTATTTTATATCATTAAAAATTTTATGGGAATTCAGCAACAAAACTGTTCATTGCGTTACTTCTTATTTTAAATTTTACGTATTTTGCAGGGTGACAATTTCAAAAATAATTTTATTAGTACCTAATTCAATAATTAAAAATTAAGTTAAAAATGGAAAAATATTGTTTCTACGACATTCAAAATATGTTATAGTTGTAATATGGAGATATTTTTAGGATATACTCGTGTGCCAACACGATAACTCTAGAAATACAGCTCCAGTTGACTTGCGGATTTGATTTTCTTTGATCATTTCTTTGAGAACCCTATTGATGGATGTCATACATATGAGTTTCTTTATAAATATTATAATTTACTTACCATGCTTGTCGAAATTTACATTGTCGCAGTAAACTTGAACTATGAATAAAATGGTTAAAAAGTAATAATTGAACTTGTACATTTTGCTCTAATGGAACTTTACTTAAATCGAAAGTAGTGCAATTCTTTTTATAACATTTTTAAACTAAATGCGGATGTTCATTATCAATAACGTTAGTATTAAAAAAATATTATTGTTGTTTTTATTTTTATCTCAATAAAGATAAGATTAACAGCAGGTTTTGCCCAGCAAACATTTTGGTTTAATTTGACGTCAAGACTACCTAAAATATTTATAATAAATTGGGATTCGACATAAGTGGAGAATAAGATAACGTCGAAATTTGGTTTTATTGACCAAAATGGGTAAAATTGCGCCTAAATCCACATTTTAGTACTACGTTTGGTTAGTAATACTTCTCTAGGAAAATTTGACGTCAGTATAACGTCAATTCGACGTTGGTTTAACCAGCTTTAGGTATAAACTACAACAAAGATTTTCAGATGACGAATGACTTCAAGTGCACAAAAAGATAAATTTTATACTTATTTGTTACTTTTATCTATAGAAGTCGAAATATTGTAGGAAGTGACCAACACAACTAAAACATATACTTACTCGTAATTCACAACAAAGATTGAAAATAAATAAATGTCGGTAACAAAAATATATATATTATTTAATTACGACGCATCAATGGGTTACGTTTGTTAAAATTAATGCGAAGGAAATTTTGTCGTGCATGTTAGCAGTTCTACTTTGAAAAATAACAATACCCTTCCAAAATACCATTTAATAAGAAAAAATATAAGAATATTATGATGTAAAAAAATATAATAATATTATGAACTAAAACTATGTTACATTTGTTGTGTATCACTTTAGAAAATCAATTTTTTTTTTGTAATTTTCATCCGTTCTTTTCTAGTTAAGTTAATTTAAAAAATTTGAAATTTGGAATCGTACTTCAATTATGTTAAGAAAATATGGCGTATTGTGCTAATTCGACTTAAAAGTTAATACGACTATGAAAATCTACGTATTTTACAAATAGCTTTTGACTAAGTTGAATTACCTTAAAGATAACGACATGTTAGTTAACTTTCCCTATTTAAAGAATTAATAACTTGTAAATTTTATTAAAAATTTACCTGTAGGTAAATGGTAAATGTAACATATTTAGGTCACCCTATTTTTGGAAATACTATCTATTAGTAAATTTCACCTATATAAAGTGTAAATTTTTATTTAACGTGTGTTGATAAATCAATTTACTGTATACTGGAGTAATTTGTTTATTTTTCACGTTATACTGCACTTGAGATTTAAAACATTTGACTTTACGAAAAAAATCGAAAGTGTATTATTTATTATTTTCTGCATTTATTTAGCTCTATCTATATGGCAAGAGAATTAAGTTTACCACTTTAACGGTTTTTTAAAATGGCCGAAATTCTTAATAATAACCTAAATAATATAAATTTTACAAATAGGTTATGTATGGCAGGTTTTAAATTTGTGGTTTATAGTCGAAATTACTTTGTAGTAGATTTTTCAGGCAATTGCTACAATAAAGTTAATATTTATTTATTCAGGATTACTTTTAGGTCAACTAAATGAGTAATCGGCTATTTGGTTAAAATTAAGTAGAAAAACAAGTCATAATTTTTCTACAATGGGGTCTATTCTGTAACAATTACTTTATATTTAACGGCCTTTAAAAATATTTTCTTCTTTACTTCTGTCATTATTTAAACGGATCTTTAAAATACATTAGAGGACTATCTTAAAGAAATCTGTTTAAATAATGACAGAAGTAAATTAACGAATACGAACATGTTTTTATAGGCCGCCAATATTTTTAAAGGCCGTTAAATATAAAGGAATTGTTACAGAATAGACCCTAATATCGACTTAATATTACTTTATAGTAGAGTAAATAAAGCATCCAAATAGGTTACTATATAGATATAAAGTTACGAAAAATATTCAGCCAAATCTACCTAGTAGGATATTGTCATGATATCCCTAATCCGACCCTGTGACTGTGTACGCACGCGGCCTTCACATGGCAACCAATTCGTGATCGAAGCAACGCTGACGTGTGGAAACAGCCGGACCGCGTCTCGAATGTAAAAGAATACGACGGAATGTCTGCCGCTGAAGCACTGGAAGCGACTGGAATGGCGGAGAGTGCCGCTTAGTCATAAAAAGGAATGTTCGAGAGCCTCTCGTATTTTCCAGTAGCGGATTTGGATTAATATAAATAGCCGACGTATCAGCGCCGAGTTTAGTTTAATGTAGAACATTGTATTGAAAAGTTAAAGTGTAAGAAATAAATTAGAATTGTTAGTTAGTGTCTAAATATTACATAAATTAAATAGTACGTCTGAGATAAATCGTAAATAGTGTGTTTTTAAATAAATAAACTTTAAATAAATTAGACTTTCGTCACAATATTCTACTATAAAAACGATTTTTAGTTGCCAAACGGATAGATGTTACCTAATTATGATACCTGATTTGTTTAAAGTTACTTTTAAATAGATATGTGTACGAGGTAGATTTCTTGGTATAATTTACGTAAATTTATACATAAATTAGAACCATTTGGTAAGTTTAAAGTCCAGGTATATTTTTCTAGTCAATTTTACGTAATAATTACCTCAACAAGTAGATTTGACTTTTACCAAGTCAGCTAATAATATCGAAAATGTTTGCTGGGTAGATAATGTTCAAAATCTATTAAATTATGGTAGGTCTAGGGTTAATAATTATAAATTACCCACCTTTTATTACCATTATTATCGCATATATAAAAAAAGGTTATAAATAAATGTTGTGTGGTTATGACTGAATTATGTTAAAAAAAATACAGTAGTGGACATATTTCACAAGATACAACAAAGAATTATTATTTTTAAATTAAGTACCCTCTATAATTTAAAATTTTTGGAATTATCTTTTTTCCAAATTTTAAAAATATACCATATGTTACCCTACTTATACCCTTTTCGAATAATTAAGTAGTAATAATACTCTTCCTATAATTCTTCCCCTTACGAGTGAATTTAAACCCCACAGTAGTCTGTGAAGAGTATTATAGGTTTATTTCCCAAATAAAAAAAATTATATTGATTCAAATTTAAAATTTCTACCAAAATGCTTCTCATCAAATTTTAAACAACTTTTAAAAATGTCCATCCGTCCAATGTCACGTTTTTTTCCGCATGATAAGTCAAAAATGAAAAATTAAATTTACAAAAAAAATAAAGTTATACTTGAGGACGAAACCTATTGATTTTGAAAAAATCTGATTACAAATGTGGGGAGGGGTTTAGGGGGTTTAAATTTAAAAAAATATATATCCAAAACGAAAAACGATATTAACTTAAAGCTCTATTGATTCTGAAAATGTTTAAATAAATATGGGGATTAAGGAGGGTTGAAATACTAAAATAAATCCTAACTCAAAAAGTAAAAATTATATCAACTTGAAAGTTTTAGTAAAAATCAAACTCAATAAGGGGACGAAGTCTATTGATTTTGAAAAATTTAACTAAAAATAGAGGTTGAGGGGGGTTAAGAGGGGTTAAATTAAAAAAAAATCAGAAATCAGAAATGAAAAGCTACATCAACATGAAATTTTTATTTAAAATCAAGGTCTATAAGGGGATAAAGTCTATTGATTCTAAAACAAATATGAATAATAATGGGGGTTAAGGAGGATCGAAATATTAAAAAAAAATTCTAACTCAGAAACAGAAAACGATATCAACTTGAAATCTTTAGGAAAAATCTGAATAAAAATTGGGGAAAAGGAGAGTCTGTGAAGAGTATTATATAGAATGCCGAGCATTATATATTTTCATTCTAGTTATTATTTGCCGTGCCACTCTGGGGTGACTTACAGATGAAATGATTCATGGTGTCATTTGACTAGTAGGTGAGGATAACTCGGAAAACCTCACTCATTATCACCAACCCCCAAGTTAAGCGGTAGTTACTGTAAATATGGAAAAGTTACCATTATTAAAGTTATATGGTAGGAGAGTCAGTGACACTTTTTTGGTACACAAGTTGCAAGTGTATCGTTAATTCTTGCTTTGTAGAAGATGACGATGTCTTAAAAAAATCGTTGTAACTTACATATAATATTAATTACATCAAAAGTTAATACAAAAAAATTTTGGTTTCGTCTTGTTAGCGGTGTAAGACTTTGCTGCGCCGACCTTCAAGTTTTAAAAATGAAATTGTTATATCCTGTATTTGTGCAAGCCTCAATTTTTTTCTATGATAGAATGATATAAGTTAATAATGAAAATATATCAGTTTCAAATCGAGAAGGTATTGCGTACTGATTTGCTTCCCTAGTTTTTTCTCTGTATACAATATCTCCTTCCAAATTCCACGCAATCAACTTCATCCCAAAATCTATTATTTTTTCTATTGCTCTGCTACTGGTTAACAGATCTACTTCTAAGTAGTTTTTATTTAAATATCCTTAGTAAGTAGTGATACTTTATTTCACCCAATTTCATCATATAATTTACCACTATCTTTTATATTGCTAGTTTTGGTTTACTACTCATGATCTATAAAGTTAAATGTAAACCAATGTTTTTCGATTATACTCAGATTTCTAACAGTTATTTAGAGTTTTTTGCCTTGTATCATGTATCCTCTTTCCACTTTTTTTAAATTAGTCTAAATAGTCTTTCTTTCAATTCGTTGCCTCCATGTTTAAAGAATTTGATATTTATTCCATCTATTCCTGGTGATTTTCCAATGACCTTCTCTATCTCATCTATTCTATTTCCTCTTCCTCTAGCATATCAGATTCTTCCATCTTTGGATCGATTAAGATATCTTTAAAATAATCTATCCACACCTGCTTGTATTGTTCTTCTTCATCTTCCAGTATCACTTCTCTTTTTTCTATTTGTTATTTTTTATTTCCTTAGTTTTGCCTTTATAGATTTTGTTTTGTTCTTCAATTTTCTTGTTAAAATCTTTTTTATTTTTCTTACTTTTTCTTACTTCCTTTTTGTTCAATTATTTTTATTTTATTATCTATCCACCCTCTTTTACTTTTT